TTTTGAGCTTTTCTGAGTTTTGACCTGGTGAACGCAGCTCCATTTTGGCTTGAAAGCAGTTCGATTGGTGATACATCAAACACTGTCGGACAGATTCTGTTTTAGATAAACCTTTTAAGTAATTTGTATGTTATTGATAATAATGCGATGTACCTGTAGCTCTTAGGTGAGTTTGCTGCTTCTCCTGAATTTAGATGGCTATTACCTTTGTTTGATTAAATTCTCTGGGTACGTTACCAGGCTAAATTATATTAGTGAAGCATCTAGCCAGCCAAAGTTTAGTGCATATTCCGCTATTTACTAAGAATTCTGGGTTGATACCATCAAGTCCTATTCCCTTACCAAAGTCCATGCTTGGCAGCCATTTCTATTGGCTTTCAGCGTCAAGACTGAAAGGAAGCTTTGGTAAAGGTCATCGCTCTTTTCACACCATCCTGGGACATATTTTCTCCTATACCTTCTGGAGATGCACTTCTTGGCGGTAGTTGTTGCCGCTCCGAGGAATCTAGTATAGTTTTTGTTGTACTTATCAAGGTCTCTAGACAATTTCTCTAACTCAGCCTTTTTAAAATTCCATCTAGGGCGAGAGATAGACGTGTAACGAGTGAAATTTGGTTACCTTCTCTGTAATAACAGGACGGTGCTGGTTGTGGGGGAAATTGCAGAGGAGTTTTCTGGTGGCAGATAGCGGTCGAGTTTTACCATCACTTGAAGTGAAACATAGATCAGGATCTGAAAGTACAGCGGTCTCGATATTTCCATTGCTCATGGCAGCTATTAAAGTCACTCGAGCGATTGGCCATGAAATGGTTACTTGTTTATAAACATTAGATACGGTTATGTCTCCAATTTTGACTACGACACTGTGTATTTCATTGTCTAAAGAGGCAGAAATATAAATAGCATTTTCTATATCATGTACAATATAAATTGCGACGCCAAAAATTATATCTTAAGAAGATGATCCAATTCCTCATTGTTGTTCTGGACTCTTTGAATAGTTTCAGCAGAAGCATAAGAATTTGAAAAGGATTCAATATTTATTACTGATTAAACAAATCGATCTGTTTTTTTGACCAATTAATAATTTAATTTCTTTGGAATTTCTAAGAGAATTTGTCAAACCATAAAGAGGTCGAAGAATATCTGAACTTTTTGGAATCAATCTGTGGTAATAGTTAATCATAATCATTAATTGCTTTAATTCTTGATTGTGAAGGTTTGCCACTAACCTAGCTTTTTTTGTTCCATCTTGTTTCGTCCTAAATACCCGTCGAGTATCTATTGCCTTTTTTCCATTGGGTAGATCAGCTGGTGTCCAAGTGTCATATAGCTGTAGTGCTTCTATTTCTTTATTGATTGCTTGTTTCCATTCTTCTCGTGAATTGACAACTTCATTGTACGTCAATTGATTACCTGTATAGTAACAATACGCAGTATACAGTTCGTAGTCGTTAAGTTTGGAAGGAATTTTGACTTTTCTTTTATTTGTATATATGTTACCTAATCCTGCACTTGACTTTTCATCTCGAAATTTTGCTTGAAATCATCTTCACTTGTTCTTCGATCATCTTCTTCTTGGCTTCTTTCTTCAATCAATTAATTTTGCCCAGTTACATTATTTTCTTGCTCTTTATTTTCTCCTCCTACTAAATAATGATTCACTTTGTTTTCTTCACATCCGCTTTTATGAATAATGTCAGCTTCATAAAATTGAACATCTCTTGAAATTATTATTTTGTTTGTTTTTTCTTCTCAAAGTCTATAACCTGTTTTTCCATATCCAACTAGCCTGCAGTTAACTGCTCTTGTTTCGAGTTTATCATGCGGTACGGGTAATTTATGCTCTTGATCCAAATATTCTTACCCTATTTAAATCAACTTTTCCATGATAAATCTCCGCCGGTAATTTTCCTTGTAGTATTTTTGTTGGACATCTGTTAAGCTGGTATGCAGCATATTGAATTACTTCCCCCCAGAGATACTTTGGAAGATTAGTCTCTGCCAACATTGTTCTGACTCTGCTTAGTAAAGTAAAATTGGCTCTTTCACTTACTCTATTTTATTGTAGGGAATTCAACTGTATACCCCTTTGATTACAAAAATTCTTTAGTATATGGGAACTGAATTCTCCTCCACAATCTGCACGAACTCTTGAGCACTTATTTCCTTCTGCTGAAAGTTGTCTGACATATTTCATTATATTGTCTGCAACCTCTGCTTTTAATTTTAATAAGTACACAGTGACAAAATGTGTATGATCATCTACTATTGTTTGATAATACTTTTCACCATTTAGTGTTGGAGTTTTTACTGGCCCTCCAATATCTGTATGTAATAATTCTCCCTTTCTCTTTGACCTTGGCATATCAACAGTTTTGAATGGTAACCTTTTAGCCTTACCTTCTTTACAAGCTTCACAGACTTCATCACTAACTCCTAAAATCTTAGTCGATATATCTTGATATGTTTATTCACTATTTCTGTTACAATCATTCACATAAGCACAACGCCTTAACATAACCTTTACAACAATACTTGGTACCCAATCACAGAACATATATAAAGAGAAGTGTCTTAAGAATCTTAACGGTCGTTCGTAACTGTCTTATCGGCAAGCTACGGTAACGCCATCTATTTAATGCTAACATATACAATATGGCCTCGGATCTATTTTTGGTAGTCTCTCCTATTCAGCTCCATTCTCTTTATTTCCTCAATGTTCTTTCCCCTCCTTCCCTTCTGCTGAATCGCACTCTAGATGCTTTCCAGTTCCTTCTCCTTTTGCCTTCATCATCCTCTTTGGGAGCTTCTTATGATCTATACGGATCACGTGGCCGTTCTATTGCAACTGTCTGTTCTGTATAGTTTTGACTAAAAAATCTGTCCTTAGTTCCTCTCTTGTGGTCATGTTTTTGAATCTATTACTTCTGGTCCTATCTACTATTCGTCTTAGGTATCCCATTTCTGCAGCTGTTATTTTTCTTTTGTGCTTATCCTGCATTTGGTCACACGCAAATTACAATGTATTAGGATTCATAATGTTTTAGTATTCTCGAGGTCTTACCAACGTTATAAACTGCAAGAGAATGTCTGGATGTGTACTGATCACATTCTAAACTCCGAGAAAAAGTCTGAAATTGCATTATTAATCTGGTCATTGCTCATCACAAGCCATTCACATCTGATGTTTATGTCTTCATCCTCGTTTCCTATTTGTTAATTGAATCTTCATTATTTTACTCATCTTTGCATTTATTTCCATTCCTGCACTTTGTACATTAACATTCCATTTGTTGACTGCGGCTTGCAACTTCATGACTGTGTTCGCTGGTGTCAATGCTGTCATTCACATATACAAGATTTTGGAAGCTTCCTTTCTCCAGTGTCCGAAATTTAGGTTCAGTTTACTTTACAATTTGGCCCTAACCACAATAAGAGAGGGGAAATCTCCTTGTTTCATTCCTTTTTCCAAATTGAAACTTTTAGACTTTACCTCCCTTATTCCGATTATTCCTGTTGTTCTTTTGTACAAGCAGTGCACTCAGGTCTAAGAGTTTTGCTTCGTCTAGTCTCTTCTTTACTACATTCTAATTTTATATATTTGAGTTGGGTTTGTCTATTTTTCCGGAATACCGCTTTTTCCTCTTGCAGTTGTTTATCTTTGTAACGTCTGATCTTTATCTTTAGTATATCTTCTTTATGCATGATGATAGACAGATAGTTATCACAATCATTCGTGCTTCCATTCTTGTGATTTCTCCATCCCACGCTTGCTGGCATATTCTTTGGATTCATTCCCCTATTTCTCTCCCTGCGTATTTGGCCATGTTGAAGTTGATTTCGCCTCTTTGCCATTTTCAACATAAGTATCATTTCCTTTACTTCGTCTATGGTTATATGTTATTCCTCCTCTATTTCCAGACTTATGTTGTATCACAACTCTGGAATCCTCTGGATACTCTGGATATCCAGTGTTTTGCTTTCCTCTGTTACTATATTTCCGGTCTTATCCTTTATACATCATGTTGTTTTGCCATATTTTCCTCTTAGATGTTTAACTGTTATCCAGAACTGTTTCTTATTATTTCTGTTGTCTTTAAGGTTTCCCTCTATTTCCTTGCCGAAGTCTTCCCATACTTTCTTCTTTGCTTCTTTGCCTACTCCTGAAGAGAAAAAAGATAGATTGACATATACTCAATCTATCTTTTTCTCTTTTCGTCTATAGTTGTCTTTTCCATGCCTTCATCTTTTCTTGGACTTTCTGCTTTACCTCCTCGCTCCACCATTTTGTTCTTTTTTTGGACCCAATACTCTATTTCCTCTGCCCAGGTCATTCCCTAACCTGCCATTTCAATCCCCTATAATAATTACATCTCTCAATCTACCTTTAGTCCTGTCCCATGTGTGGTCAAGAACAACTCTATTTCTGTGATTTCTGCATTCTCCGTCGGTGCGTAGATTTGTATGAGTGTTACTTTTTCACTCAGCACCATACCTAATGTAATTATTCATGAGTTTATACCTTCCCAGTAAGTTATTTGGTTAGCTAGATCATTTGCTCTTATTCTCAGTGGCACGCCTGAGTAGATCAGTTTATATCCTTTATCCAATGTCACTTCTTTATTTCATTTCCTCGTTCACTCAACCTTCTCATGTTCAATATCCCCACTCTTGTCCATATTAAACAAAAGTAGGTTCCATTACCATACTGAGTTACCAGAGCCTCGTAAGTTATCTAGTAGAAGCACCACGTTCAGGTGAGGTTGTCAAAATTTATCTGTTGTCTTCTTTTTGCATCGGTTCTTCTTGTCATCTCAATTGCTTTCTGCTATTTGAAGTAGTGATGTTGTTTGCAAAACCACATTTCAAAAAATTTTATCATCAATTTTGCTTGCCATCAACTGTAACATCACTTTGAAACAATCAGAATCCTTTCCTGATCATTTCCCTATTAGTGATAGAATTAAGAAAATGAAAATAAAACAATTTTTTTTAAGGAACCCTTAGAACAATGGCGAAACTTAAAAGGGTACAACCTTCTCCAATATTTATACGAAGACATGCCAAAGTGGCAAAACACATTTCAATCTCACGTCCAATTCACTCGTTACAAAATTCAAACGAGCGCTCCAAAATCTCCATCGACTACAGTTCAAATTTTTGAACGTTCGATTCAAAACAATCGATTTTGCTTTCTCGAAATGGCCAAAGACAGCGGGATGCATCCAAATGAATTTGCCGTTTTAAACGAATGGTATCAATGGATTCAAGAAATATCCGATATATCTTTAGATTTAATAGGTTAATATTTTCGAATTTAAATTAAATTAATGTGTGGATTATTTTTTTTGATTGTAGTTTATTTGAGGAGTACGCCTGAAAAAGTTTTTGAACGCACTAAAGATCGTGGACGTCCCGAAGAAACCGGGATCACGTTGGATTATTTAAAAAAGCTGCATGAGTATCATGAACGCTGGTTGACTAGTAATAATCCGAAATTAAATAAGATACCCGTTTGGATTTTGGATGCGGATAAAACTTTGGAGGATATTCGGGAGCAATACGATTTGTTAAAAAGTAGTTTGGAGGATAAAGGTAAATTGAAAATGGCGAAAAAGTCATTGTTTAAAGATTAAAATTAAACGATTTGTGTTTGAAAGGATTTGTTTTTTAATAAATTTGTTAAATTTTTGAAAAAAGTAATACAACCTAATTTTTAATTACTTCCTGTTGTTTTAGACATATATATTAGTTATTAGTAGAAGATTTAGTAGGCATTTTTTTAGTCGTTGCAGAAGATCATATTCTCATTCACAGAATAGAAAATTTTTGTTGAAGAAGACCATATTGTTAGTGCAGAAAACTAGATACTGCTTACAGAAGAGTAGATATTGTTTGAGCAAGACTATATACTGCTTGGACAAGACTGTATACTGCTGGAACGAGACTATATATATATATAGATATATATATACTGCTTACAGGTTATTCTCTAACACAGTCTTTTTCAATTAGCACTGGAGGGCAACTTGTAATCGTAAAAGTTTCTACAGCTGTAACAGCTCAGCTTAACTGCATTTCTATCATATAATGCATATCAACCACAATAATGCAATTCTTTCAAACTTTGCATGAAACATGGTGAGACTACAACCATCACCTTCGCTCTACCATTAACGGGACAGAAACCAACACAATTTCACAATATCAGATATGAGCGACAAATCTGCGCCGGTGTCAATTAAAGCCGTAAAGTTCCGTTCATTAATACATATTTGAATTATGTTATTTGATTTTCCACTAGAACAAAAGACAGATAGAGAAACAACACGTATCCCCAGATAAACATCCTTCATCTTTCTCAATTCTTTCGGTTATGAAAATTTGAAGAATTTCGTTGTTTAACAAGTTGATGATGGTAACACTTGGAAATGGAAGCATGCTACAAAAAAACTTTTAGAAAAAAAGTTGTAGCAACTTGTATTCCTAACAATATTGATCTGTTGCACTTTTGCTCTAAGATGCGTAAATGTCAAGAAAAATACGAAAATATGAAAATTTTATGAATTTGTTGCTCTTTCAAGTTATTAAAGGTAACACTTAAAAATCGGAGCTTGCTATACAAAAACTTTTATAACAAAAGTTGTAGCAAATTTTATTGTTAACAATATTGCTCTCTTGCACTTTTGCTCTTAGATACGTCAATATCGAGATAGATACGAACACATGAAAATTTGATGAATTTGTTGCTTTTTCATGTTATTAAAGGTAATACTTGAGAATCGGAGCTTGGTATAAAAAAACTTTTATAACAAAAATTGTTGCAAATTTTATTGTTAACAATATTGCTCTCTTGCACTTTTGCTCTTAGATACGTCAATATCGAGGTAGATACGAAAATATGAAAATTTGATGAATTTGTTGCTCTTTCAAGTTATTAAAGGTAACACTTGAGAATCGGAGCTTGCTATAAGAAAACTTTTATAACAAAAATTGTTGCAAATTTTATTGTTAACAATATTGCTCTCTTGCACTTTTGCTCTTAGATACGTCAATATCGAGGTAGATACGAAAATATGAAAATTTGATGAATTTGTTGCTCTTTCAAGTTATTAAAGGTAACACTTGAGAATCGGAGCTTGCTATAAGAAAACTTTTATAACAAAAATTGTTGCAAATTTTATTGTTAACAATATTGCTCTCTTGCACTTTTGCTCTTAGATACGTCAATATCGAGGTAGATACGAAAATATGAAAATTTGATGAATTTGTTGCTCTTTCAAGTTATTAAAGGTAACACTTGAGAATCGGAGCTTGCTATAAGAAAACTTTTATAACAAAAATTGTTGCAAATTTTATTGTTAACAATATTGCTCTCTTGCACTTTTGCTCTTAGATACGTCAATATCGAGGTAGATACGAAAATATGAAAATTTGATGAATTTGTTGCTCTTTCAAGTTATTAAAGGTAACACTTGAGAATCGGAGCTTGCTATAAGAAAACTTTTATAACAAAAATTGTTGCAAATTTTATTGTTAACAATATTGCTCTCTTGCACTTTTGCTCTTAGATACGTCAATATCGAGGTAGATACGAAAATATGAAAATTTGATGAATTTGTTGCTCTTTCAAGTTATTAAAGGTAACACTTGAGAATCGGAGCTTGCTATAAGAAAACTTTTATAACAAAAATTGTTGCAAATTTTATTGTTAACAATATTGCTCTCTTGCACTTTTGCTCTTAGATACGTCAATATCGAGATAGATACCAAAATATGAAAATTTGATGAATTTGTTGCCTTTTCAAGTTATTAAAGGTAACACTTGAGAATCGGAGCTTGCTATAAAACAACTTTTATAACAAAAATTGTTGCAAATTTTATTGTTAACAATATTGCTCTTTTGCTCTTTGATACGTCAATATCGAGATAGATACAAAAATATGAAAATTTTATTATTTTCTTGCTCTTTCAAGTTATTAAAGGTAACACTTGAGAATCGGAGCTTGCTACAAGAAAACTTTTATAACAAAAAATTGTTGCAAATTTTATTGTTAACAATATTACTGTCTTGCACTTTTGCTCTTAGATACGTCAATATTGAGGTAGATACGAAAATTTGATGAATTTGGATCGCAGCATGTTACAAAAAAACTTTTAGCACAAAAGCTGTAACAAATTTTATTATTAACAATATTGCTCTCTTGCACTTTTACTTTTAGATGCGTCAATATCTATTGTGACCCGTTTTTTCGGTTTTTCTCGCCGAGTTTTTATTTTTTCTATTTACCGCTTTGGAACAATGTAGAACAACTCTAGAACAACGATGAAAAATTTATAAATCAAAAAATGGGGGGCTAACTTCCCGCACTCGGTTCCCCCAGGGGTTTGCTTTACAACATTGCCCTTTAAATCTAGCTTTTTCAGGTAACCTTTCGTCTTCTTCACTTCCTCTCTTATGTATATAAGATAAGCATTGGAAAGGAAGTTTTAGAATTTTTAACCCAAAGTTGTCTTTGATTTGCATACAACTGTTTCACATCTGGGTCTATTACATTGCCACTACATTGTGTCTTAGGTTTATTTCCAAACTAAATTTGTCACAGAGTATGAGCAAATCATTTAAAAATTATTTTTACACATTATCAAGAATGGAAATTTTAAACTAGGTATGAATAAAACTGAAACAACATCTTTTACATTAATCTTTAAATGAATCCGTTTATTTATTTTTTAACTTTAACCTTACTTAGAAAACATAACCTAAAAAATACTTTCGGAACACATTTTTTATCCATTTAAATACAAAAAAATCTTAAATATTCCTTTTAACGGCGTCTTCAATGTCGCCGATAATCCCCTTGAATTTTTGCCATTGCTCCATCGTTAGCATAATCCCTTTCTTCCCCGGTTTTAGATCACCTCCGGCATCCATATAAAACTCTCGGATATTAACGTACCATTTTCCTTTAAATTCGGTTAATTTTACAAAACGATTCTTTCCTAAATCCCATGATAATTCATCATCCCCGTCGGATTTTTTCGATGGTTTTGCAGCCTCCGGTTTCGATTTTTTAACCGGTAATTTCTAATAAAATTAAAAATGGTGTAAATTTTTTTAATTAAAAAAAAAAATTAATTTCTTACATCATCTGGACCAGAATCCGAATCGGAATCAGAAGATTGAACCCTTTTCTTAGTTTTAGGCATATTTTTCAATATTAAAACAAATTTAATTCGATTAAATTAAAACCTTTCTTGTGGCGAAATATTGAGGTTATGTCAAAAAAGCGTTACGAAAACGAAACGTCGATTTTGGTGATGCCAACTTAAAAAAATTAAATTTGTTTATTTTAATTCATTAATTAATATTAAATAAGATTGTTTTGATCGGTTTAAAATGGGAAATTGTTGTTAATACGGGTGATTTAAATGATTTTTAATAATAAATTGGGGGGTTTGTTAAAATATAGGTTAGGTTATTTTATTAAGTGTCACTTGTCAAAAAAAAGTACGTGTTTTTCTTCGATAAAAGTGTAAAAATCTGAGTTTCGAAGCGAAATGGGACGTTTTTATTGAGATTAATCTCTTTTTTACCGGAAATGATGTCTTAATTAATTAGAGTCGATTAATTAATTAATTAATTGGTGAGTAAATAATTTCAATTTTTTTGATGATATTTTTTGGGTTATATTTTGTTAGATTATGGATCAACAAGATTGTACCGAAAATATATGTAGAGTGTGTCGTTCGGAAGAAGTCCCCGATCGGCCGCTTTTCCACCCTTGCATTTGTACCGGCACAATTAAATTTATCCATCAGGAGTGCCTCCTACAATGGATGCGGTATTCCCGGAAAGAATATTGCGAATTATGTGGTTACCGCTTTTCGTTTACTCCGATTTATTCGCCGGATATGCCCCGGAGACTCCCTTTACGCGACCTTGCAATCGGTTTTTTAACTTCGATTATAACCGCGGCGAAATATTGGTTGCATTATACTTTAGTGGCGGTGGCTTGGTTGGGGGTTGTGCCGCTTACGGCGTGTCGAATATACCAATTTGTGTTTTCGGGGAACATCGAGGTTATAATAACCACAGAGAATATAGCAGGGGACATTTTCCATGGATGTTTTGTTGTAACTTGCACTTTATTTACTTTTATTGGCTTGGTTTGGTTGAGAGAGCAAGTTTTGCATGGAGGGGGGCCGAATTGGTTGGGGGAAAACGAAAATGTCCCTGAAAATGAGAACATAGTTGAAGTGTTATTACCCAATAATAACGAAGAAAACTTGCTAAATCAAGAAAATATTGAAGAAAACGAAATTGTGGATAATGAAGAGAATAATGAGAATAATTGGATCCCTATGGAGTGGGATCGCGCGGCGGAAGAAGTGACTTGGGAGCGACTTTTGGGGTTAGATGGATCCTTAGCTTTCTTGGAGCACGTTTTTTGGGTCTTATCCCTTAATAGTTTGTTTATATTGATATTTGCGTTCACCCCTTATCACATTGGGATGATCTTTTTATCCTCCCTTAACTTAAAAACGGCGAATTTTCACTTCGAGGGGCTTTTAACGACACTTTTGGGCTACTTTTTTATTGGGTTCTTATTGATTTTGTTGCATTACATCGCCGCGTTGTTTGGGTTGCAGAAAGCAAGGCGAATACTCGGACTATGCTATGTTGTAGTCAAGGTTTCAATGCTATCAGTCGTTGAAATCGGGATTTTGCCGCTAATTTGCGGATGGTGGCTGGATATTTGCTCCTTGGCTATGTTTGATGCAACCTTAAAGGACCGCGAATTGAGTTTTAAGCTAGCCCCAGGAACCTCGATCTTTATACATTGGCTAATAGGCATGGTCTATGTTTATTATTTTGCAAGCTTCGTTTTATTATTGCGCGAAATTTTGCGCCCGGGCGTTTTATGGTTCTTGCGCAACTTAAACGACCCCGATTTTAGCCCAATTCAAGAAATGATACACTTACCCATACTAAGACACGTGCGCCGATTAATCTTATCCGCGATTATTTTCGGCAGCGCCGTTATGTTGATGATTTGGGTCCCAATTCGCGTCCTAAAAGCTTTCTTCCCATCCTTTTTACCCTACACTGTATCCCTAAGCGGGGGCGAAAGCCAAGTGAACGAGCTATCATTAGAGTTATTATTGTTACAAGTGATTTTACCCGCGCTGTTGGAGCAAAGCCACACGAGAAATTGGTTAAAAAAGTTCGTTAAAAGTTGGTGCAAAGTGATTTCGTGGTGTTTAGGACTCGGCTCATACCTCTTAGGCGACGAAAACGAAGCAAATCAAGACGAACAAAACCGCGATGAGAACCAACAAGATCCACCTGGGGGCGAAAATGAACCGAACGAAGCCGAAAATGAACGAGTCGAAGTCGAAAATGAAGATGATGACGAAAACGACGAAGATAATCACCCAACTTTATTCATGAGAGTTGCGTATCATCAAAACGAAGCGGAAAATTCACAAGAACTCGCCGGGAATAGCTCAAAACAAGTTGAAAATCAAGAAATAAACGAAAATGGGGTTCAAAATCACCAAATTGAACCAAACGAAATCGATGAACACCAAGATCAAGAAAATCCAAATTTAATACAAAACCCTGTCCCAAATCAAAATCAAAATCCTCGCCAAAATAACCCAAATCAAGCTCAAAATGATTTTCAACCGGAAGTGATTGGAGGTGGTTTAGGTGCGGTACATCACGCCCTCTTGCTTCGCGAAGGTCGAACCGGTTACCAACCGTACGAAAAGCCGAATTTTTTCGCGTTAAAACTCCTTTTATTGGTAACGTTAATTTCGATAACTTTAATATTAACCAGTTTATTAGCCCTAACGATTCCCGTTTATTTGGGTCGAAAAATAATGTCGTTTTGGTTTATTAATTCGTTACCGATCAACTCGTCTACTCATCGGCAGATGGCAGTCGTTCAAACGGGGGTTAAAATTTATGAATTGTATACGGCTGCGTGTGGGACTTATTTTTGTTGGTTGATAGCGCGCGGGACTTCGTTAATTTTCGGGTTTTTGCCGCAAGGTCGAAAAGAGATTTTTGAGAAGTTAAAAAATTGGTTTTTGATCGGTGCGAAAATGTTTATTTCGGGGGTGATTTTGTTGGGGTTGATTCCGTTTTTGTTTGGGTTGTTGTTGGAGTTGGTGATTATTGTACCTTTAAGGGTGCCGATTTATCAAACGCCCGTATTTTTTGTTTGGCAAGATTGGGCGTTGGGCGTTTTGTATACAAAAATAGCCTGCGCTATCACTATGATGGGTCCGGATTGGTGGTTAAAAACCGCGATCGAAAGGGTTTATCGGGATGGGTTGAGAGAAATGCAATTAAAGGTTGTTTTAAAGGATTTAGCGGGGCCGGTTTTGGTTTGTTTTGGGTTGTTTTTAGCTGTTCCGTACGTTTTGGCGTATTCTTTAGCGCCCATTTTTATCGTTAATATTCAGATAAGGATTTTAATTGCGAGGAGAATCTATCCGTTTTTACTTTTAATGGGAATCGGAGCGTTTGCCGTTATTTTGCAAATACGGCAATTAAAAAGATTATATGAACATATTAAAAATGATAAATATTTGGTTGGGCAAAGGTTGGTTAATTATAATCATAGATAATTTTGTTGAAAACTTTTATTATTAATTTTTGATAAAATAATTCATTTTTCTGTTTAAAATCAAAAATTTTTGTTATTAATTGATTGATTAATTATTTTTCGATTTGTGTATATAATGTTATAATTTATGTTCTGGTTAATCTTTTTTTATTGTATTAATTGTAATTAGTTTGGTTTATACAGGATTTTTTCTTGATTAGATGATTTATTGAACCATCCTGTATATATATCTTTTGTTGTAAATATATAGTAAAATGAGAACGCGGTTAATTTAGCTATTAATAAGTATTTCTATTGTATTGAAAATGAAAAGATGTAAAAAATAAATAAAAAAGGAATAAATTGAACAATTCAAATTTTTTTTATAACACATATTTTTGTATACAGGATGTATCTGGTTCCTTAGAACTTTTTTAGGTTCCATTATAATGCCTTTATTAATAGAAACAACAGAAAAAAAAAAGATTACAAATGTGCGCAGGGCGGAGTTAGGACCATAGTCCTCACCAATGATCTCGCGGAGCCCTTTTTTGAAGGTGCTCAGTGACAACGACTTAAGAGAACTTGGCAACGGGTTGTAAAGCCTGGGTAGATTAAAAGAGAAAGACCGTTGAAACAAAACCGAGCGATGCTGAGGTGGAGTAATGAAGCCCTTGGATCTGATGTTCAAATTATGAACATCAGTCCGAAATGATATTTTATTATAAAGATAAGAAGGCGACTTAAATAAAAGTAATTTATGATAAAAAGTTAACAGATGTAATTTCCTCCTGTTAGCCATATTAAGCCAACCCACCTCCTTCAAAAAACATGTAACGTGATCTCTCAAACGCAACCCAAAAATCAATCTCAGACAGGCGTTCTGAACTTTCTGAATACGGCCGGCAGTTACCTGATCCAGACAAGTGCCGTATACCGTGTCGCAAAAATTAAATTGGCTGAGTACCAAGGCGTCACACAGTCTCGCCCTAATGTCCCTAGATAAAAAGTTTTTAATATTATAAATAAGCTTCAGCGCCGCAAATGATTTACGGACCTTTAAAGTAACATGATCCCTAAATCTGACATCACAATCCATTAGGAGGCCAAGATTACGACAACAACCCGCAACGCCCAAGTCACCACTATCCAGCTCAATTCTAAAATGAGAGCAAGCGTTGCGGGCATTGCGTCTACCAAACAACAACATAACCGATTTTAAGGGATTCAATCTTAAGTTGTGACTGGCAGCCATTTTGGTAAACCGAGCAACATCACCCGCAATCCTAAGTTGGGCCACAGGAGCATCATCCTGTCTGAAAGAATAATATATCTGAGAATCATCGGCATAAAAATGAGCTTTAGAATATTTGAGACAATTTTGGAGACCAGAAGTATAAATGCTAAATAAGAGCGGACCCAATACAGAACCTTGTGGTACACCGGCCATTAATCCACGGGCAGCCGAGACGATCATGCCACAGGAAACGACCTGTCTTCGATCAGAAAGAAAATTCAATATTAAGGCAGCAGCATTAGTACAAAACCCAATGTACTTTAGAATAGAATCCAAAACTGTATAATTCACCGTATCAAATGCTTTCGAAAAGTCGAAAAGAATTAAAGCCGTAACCATGTCATCATCAGCTGCCCGCAGTATATCATCAGTTATATGCATCAATGCTGTACCACATCCATGATTTTTACGAAACCCAGACTGTGTCGTCGGCAAAACACTGCAACCCTCAACAAAAAATCTCATCTGAAAGGCCATGATTTTTTCCAAAATCTTAGACAAAACAGGCAAAATACTAATCGGCCTAAGGTCACCACACGAAGTAGGATTGGCTATCTTAGGCAGTGGGATCACTTTAGCAGTTTTCCAAGCGTCTGGAAAAACTGAGTTAGCTAAACAGTAGTTTATAATATGTGTTACAAAAGGTAGAATATGGGGACAGCAAAGATGCAACATTAAGGATGAAACACCATCAAAACCAACCGAGCCTGATTTTAACTTCAAAAGTAGTGAACCGACAATGTATTCATCTACCGTTTCAAATAGGAAATTATTAGTAGGATTTAATTTAGAATTATTATAGAAGTCAACAACATCCTGATCAACAACCCCTCCCAATTCAGAAGATCTAGCGAAATAATCATTTATCTCATCTGCATTACCTAAACTCCCGGGCAATGGTTGGCGCCTCTGTCTGGCGACACCCCAATCACGAAGGACCCGCCATAGCTTAGCAGAACTACGCTGAGCCACCACCGAACCAAAGTATGCCTCTTTCTCTCTTCTTATCGCTCCTTCCACGTACCGCCTCAAATCTTTGTAACTATACAGATCATTAATATTCTTAGAGTGCTTATATTTAGAGTAAGCCCTATCCCTCAAACACATCATTTGTTTTAACTGCGGCGTAAGCCAAGGACTACGTCTTTTAGAAAATCGTCTATTCCTTAGTGGAGCATATTTATCGAAAATTGAAATAATAAGATTATTAAAAAAATTAACTTTGATATTAACGTCATCCAGTTCATAAATTAAAGAGAACGGCAACGACTCCAGTTCAGCAGTAAAATCAACAAGATTGATAGAATTAAAATCCCGGTAAGCCCTAAAAACTGGTTCAGTAACAATAGGTGCGACTGTCAAGCTACATCTAATCAATTCATGATCAGTTAGACCATGCAAACTGTCCAGTGAAGTAAACGCAAAATCGACACAAGAAGAAACAACAACATCTATCAAGGTTTCCGAGGAAGAAGTAATACGAGTAGGCTCGTTCACCAGTTGCAACAACCCATATGCGTCCAGAAGATTCAAAAATTTAGTAGTGTATGTATTCTGAGAATTAAGCAAGTTAATATTTATATCACCTACAACAAATAATTCATCGCATTGAGGAATTACCAACCCCAGTGTCGCCTCAAAAGCGTCAAGGAAACTATTGATATTCTCCCTAGGTGGTCTATATATAACCCCAATATTATATTTATTTTTATTAAAACATAATGTTATCCACGTCTGCTCCAAGTAGGAGTAACATTCGACAGTAAGAGATTTACTTTTAAATTTATTTTTAACATACACACCAACACCTCCGCCCCGCACACCACTTCTTGACCAATGGTAGAAAGAATAATTAAACAATTGACACGCATCCACCGCAGATGGCGCTATTAACAACATAAATATAGTGGTAAAAGAAGATTTTTAAGCAATCTGCTATACAAGGTGCCCATTATGTATGGAATATTGTATATATCTCGGTAAATGTTGACTTTATAAAAAAACATTTTATACAAAAGTTGTTTAATATTTTATTTGCCATAATAAGACTTCATTCCATTGTATTTAATTCAGAAAACAAATGAGTAACGAATAAGGCCGCGTTTATATTGGCGAGCGATTAGCGATGAGCGTTGAGCGGTGAGCGATGAACGTTGAGCGTTATAACGATGAAGTGTGTATATTAAGCAGATTCGTAGCACAGCTTATTTAGTATCAGTACCATGGTAAACATGCTACCGAAGTCAGTGCGTTTGCTGTGGTTATTAGAAAATCCCATTTTATTTAGAAAGATTATATTAAGGAAGCGGAAGAAAAGAATTGGAGTGCATTACCTAAACAGAACACGTTTGACAAACGGTGAATTTCACCAACTGTACTATGATCTACGAAGAGATCCGTCTAAATTTTTCGAATTTTTACGCATGTCTATTGACACTTTCGATTATATTTTGATACGAATTAAGGACAGGCTTCGGAAGAAAGTAACTAATTTTAAGAGACCCATATCTCCAGTAGAAAGGCTTTTTTTAACATTAAGGTAGGTACACAAAAATAGTGACAAGTACACTAATATTTATTGCATAAAATTAGATGTATAGAGTAATTCTGCAGACCCAAAATCTTCTATTGTTATATTTTCACGGGTCAAGCCGAAACATGCTATAATTTTCGTCACATTGACTAATTGGTTGATATTGAATACCTTTTCCCACTGTTAAATTTTCGCCAGAGTTTGTATGTAATCTAGGCTGGGATCGTACTTGATCGAAGTTTTCATTTCCGTAAAGTTGAAGATTTGTGTAATTTTCTTGACGTTGAACAGACTGCATAGTGTTTTGTTTGCGTCGCACGGCCTCGGTGATAACTTCTTGTATTTTTGCTCGCACTTCCAATTTTTCTAAACAGTCCATGTCCGTAAAATAGGGCAGCAGACTCATTAAAAAATGATAATCGGGGTTACCTGTCATATCAACATCTTTCTTAAATTCCTGCTCTAATAAATCTAGTTTCTTTTGCTCTAATTCCAAGTAATGTCTGTCGATTTCGTTTTGTGCAGGTCTTTTCTTATTACGACATGTTGGTGTTGCGAATGTCTTTCTTTGCGTTGTACAAGATGAAGGACGTGAAGAGCTAGTTGATGGTGATGAAGGTTCATGTTGTATGGTATCTGACTCTTCATTATTAACGTTTTCTGCAGTTTGTTCTTCATCCTCACTATCGGTGTTCTCGGGTTCCTTCGAGAGGTTGCCAGTTGTTGTACTTGGAAGCATGCTATCTTTTACAAATAGCATCATATCAAAAAATGGCCATTTTGACTTATAATTGTCATTTTCTGAGCCGGAGCGTTTTTTCGGAATTTTATGCAGTTCAACCCGAAACTTATCTTTTAAATTTTTCCACTTCCCCTTCGCAGCTTGTCCTGGAAAGAATTTGTATTTAATTAGTTGTTATGATATTTCAGGTTCTTGTCTACAGGACTCTCATTCCGAAATTTAGCAACAACTCTGAGAATGGGAGTTTGTACCGTTAGCAAAATTGTTCATGAAACATGTGAAATAATATGGAATGAATTTGTTGACGAATTCATGCCAGTTCCTAGTCAAGAGCAATTACAAACTGTAGCAGAAGGATACTACAGACGTTGGAAGTTTCCAAATTGCGTAGGGTCAATTGACGGCAAGCACTGCCAAATAAAATGCCCACCAGGAAGTGGTTCTCGCTATTTTAATTATCTGAAGTATTTCTCTGTGGTCTTACAAGCAGTAGCTGATGCTGACAAAAAATTTATCACAATCGAGGTTGGCGCCAGAGGAAAGCAAAGTGATGGCGGAATATTTTCATCTTCGCAACTCTTTAATCTACTTGAAAATAAGGTATTTAATATGCCGCCAGACAGAGAACTATTTGGTACAAACATTAAAGTACCTCATGTTTTAATTGGTGACGAGGCATATCCGTTGAAGACTTATTTGATGAGACCATATCCTTCCAGAAATCTCGATCCCGTCAAAGAAAACTTCAATAATCGCTTGTCAATAGCTAGAAAATGCATTGAATGTGCTTTTGGCATACTACGTGCTAAATGGCGTATCTTGGGCAAGGATATCGAAGTTAGCCCAGAAAAAGCGGCAAATATAGTAAAATGTACGTGTATTTTACATAATATTGTGAGACATCGAGATGGCAATAGTGACTTACATTACTGTCAAGAGGTGGTACATTATTTTCCAGAAAATCAGCGTGAAACAGAATGGCTGACACCTCCTCAAGAAGGACACGGAGGAATCTTTTGCAAATTACTTTGTAGATTTTTGAACGACAAAAAAATATACGTGTATACTTGTACATTTAAGTGTTTTTTGACTAACCTGATAATCCAATACATGTGCCAACATCTCCCCATAACTTTCTTGTTATCTCCGTTTTTTTGTAATCTGGGTGTTGATCATTCCATAGCACCGGTTTTGTTTGCACTTCCGAAATTAATATTTCACGACAACTATTCGAAAATTTTGCTTTTGACACATTTTTGCGAAAAACTTCAAAACAAATAATCACATAACCTCAATACGTGCTGCGACCGCTTGTATCTATTGCTCATAATTCAAGTCGTCTTGAATGCAAATGTAACGCACATCCACCGCTTAGCGTTACCGCTCATCGCATTGGTTTAATATACACAGCACTGTTGCATTTGCAGGTACTTGAATTTTTAAATACAATGCTCATCGCTCACCGCTCAACGCTCATCGCTAATCGCTCGCCAATATAAACGCGGCCTACACTTGAATTTTTTTAAATGGCAATGTACCCTTTCGTTAGGCTCATTTGATAGAGATTACTTTAAGACACGTTTGAAATTCAAATTGAATTGGTTCCATAAAATATTACTAAAACGTCATTACAGCATCGGATGCTGTAAGGAGTCTCATTACAGCACCCGTTTGAGTACTGTAATAGCTTTCATTACCGTCCCGAATTACAAAAATTTGTTTAAAATACTCTCTATTAGATCCCGATTCCCGCATCGCATATCCAAGTACATTATTCTCGGGTACTTGAACAAGTTTGAGCTTGTCTGAATTTGCAGAGTTTACTCAGCGCTCAAACAGGTTTGTGTTTCTTTCACCTTATTAGTTTATTATTTATTGAACAGTTACACGACAACGTTCGACGGACGAGATCTTACTACAAATAAAAGTGAGAGAAGGTTAAAAGTTTGAACGGGGTGGTTTACGTAGCTATTATTATTGTGTGTTGAACGCGGACATTGATTGATTATATTTTAAGGTAAGTAAGAGATTTATCTATTAATAATTATTTATTAAAAGTGAAAATAATATGAATATATGAAAATCTAGTACCTAACTTATAGATGTTTAATGTTTATTTATATGCAAAAAAAAAGTTTTTGGACAGACGTCATACAAAATATATATGTATACTTCAACAATGAGTATCTAAAACAATAACTTAACTAATACAGTTCGGTCATACGGTGGACATTACTTAGGAATTCTTCTACCGAGTAAAAGGCCTCAGATACCAAAAAATGTTTAACACGATTTTTAAAACGCGCGGTGTTCATGTTCTTTATGCAATCCGGTAGTTTGTTATAAAGTTTTGTACCCTGGTAGTCCACACCTTGCTGGGTCACCTTAAGACGGTGATACGGAACCCTTATAGAGTCTTTTTGTCGCGTATTATATTCGTGATGTACGGAGTTTATGTCATAGAGATGTGTATTATTATGTACATGGTTAACACAGGTAAGTATGTACATGCAGGGCACGGTAAGTATATCAATTTTTTTAAAATGTTCTTTACATGATTCTAAATTTTTTAGATTACACAAAGCGCGGATACAA